CATTTCTACAAGTTGCCCCTTTTGATCGCCTCATACTTTACTTTTCATCCTTCACATGTATGATGCAGAAATCAGTAACTGTTCATGGCCTGGGCTTGGGAGTGTAGACCAGTTCATGCATCTTCTTTGAACCCATCTGTTCCTGAGCTTCTGCTTTTTTCCGTGGTAATTCACATCATTAGTGGAGGAATGCATGGCATGCAAACCCTGAGGCCAGTGCAAGATAATGAAAACTGCGGTTATGAAACATATCCTTCTCATCGCATCCCACTCACTGGCTCTTCCCAGATTCTTAACAGAACGCGTCATCTCTGTTTTTCTTTCCAGTGTGGAGAGATTTTTTTTTTTCTTTTTTGAGCATAGGACTGGTGCATGCATATCGTAAGATTGCATCTCTACTGCTTTGCCTGGGCTAGCTAAGAATGCATGTTTTGCATTGAATTACTTATAGGTTCTGTATCAGGTAGCCCACCCACAACATAAACCCAAGAAGCGTTACAATAAAAAAGAGCACAGCTCTCAGCTGTGAATGTAAGTCAACTTGTTTCACTGCTGTTTTAATGAGAAACATTCTTACGCATTGCTGAAACTATCCTTAATTGTGTATGTCAACTTTGAAAAATATGTAGGTCAGTAAATACTTCTCCATGGATAATTTCTCCAGTAGTTCCGTTTGAAAACTTTCCCAACAAGTTTCAGTTTTTCTTAACACGTTGTGGTGTGCAGACAGCAGGTGAGGCTTTTATTTATTTCGAAATTGAATTAAACTTCCAACTTTAGAATTATTTTGCAGATAGCCAATTTGGTAGTGCATTTATTGTTCAGATGATAATGTAACTCCAAAACAAAATAATTCACATTAATCATGCGTCTATGAAAAAAGCAGTGACACATACACAAGATGCTTTGTTTAGTGTATATTTTTAAAGTCAAATGAAGATTTTTGTCAATTTAGATTAGGTTAATGAAAATACGTATATGCTTTTTTTGTCATTGTTGTTCCTCATAATTGCCCCCCTTTATTCAAATTTAATGGGTTTATATTGAACCATTTGTTATATTCATACTTCCTGGGCAGGCTGGTAGGTAAAGATTCTGTATTGTTTAAGGATGAATCGGTGTTTTCTTCTGGCAGTTAGTGTTACTGTATCGCAGCTGAACCGTTCAATTGAAACCTTTATAAAAGATGAAGCTCAACTGGTGGAGAGGGTCCCTCACAACGATGCAGTTTTCTGTATATCTGATGTCTGCATTCAGAACAGGCCAGAACGCTGTGAGGAGCTTGGGCCGTTTTAGCCTGGAGCACATCACTCAGTAATTTCCCAACTAGGAGTCATAAATAAAAGCTCTTTTAGCTGGATGAGTCAGAACATTATCCTCTGGTTTTTATTGTATGCCTATTATTATTTCTTGCAAACCAGTGTTCTGAGAATCAGAGTCGCAACTCTGGTTTTCCAGTTACGACTTGCTTCTCTGCCTATGAACCCGCAACACCATGGATGGGTTCCTAGATGAAGATTTAAACAAAGCATTACTGCTACATGGAGTGGCTAAAAGGTTGCAGATTCTGAACTGCCCGCTCACTGCTAATGGGGGTACAGCCAGTTGACCCACAGCATGGTTGCCAAAGAGAAACACAATAAGAGCCCGAGGAATGAAACTGTGTTTGAGGATGATCTATCAGAAAAAATTCAGCATACTAAATGCATTAGTTTCAAATTATGCAAGAGGCTTTGAGTCAGTATCTCTGATGCCCAGGCACTTCTCCAATCTGATTAAAAACGTAGCAATAAAACAGAGAATTATTTTTATAACAACTGGGAACATTACAATATTGAGTGTCACAGCTTCTTTAGAATTTTTTTGGTATTGAACAAATTGCAGCCGACTTCTTTTTGTAGATGCAAGCCTGAAGCAAAGTGCATTAAGGCAGAATAGACACGGTGTGTAGGAATTTAGATAGCCATGTGTACATGGAATTGTGTAATTGGTGCAAGCACTCCCTCGACGCCTGCAGGTAAGGTATTTGAGCTGAAAGAGTCACCCAGGAACACGAGTGTCTATGTCCATCTTAGACACAAATACTCCATCAAAAAACTTGCTTCTTGGCCTCCCATTTCACACATGCGCAGAGGATTCATGTTCCTCCTTATTCTTTCCTATAAACAGAAAAGGCACAGGGAGAAACTGAGTTAACTCTTCAGATACTAATGTAGGCCAAAAGATGAAAGCTTTAGAATGATAAATGTTAAGCACATTTTTTTTTCCAGATGTGTTTATTTTTATTTGAAAGGCAGAATTTGCAGAGAGAGAAATGGAGCGAGAGAGAGAGGTCTTTGATTGACTGGTTCACTCTCAGATGGCCACAACGGCCAGAGCTGAACTGATCCAAAGCCTGGAGCCAGGAGCTTCTTCTGGGTCTTCCACATGGGTGCACAGACCCAAAAACTTGAGACATCCTCTGCTGCTTTCCAAGGCCATAAGCCCTCTGCTGGATCAGAGGAGGAGCAGCTCAGACACGAACCGGCACCCATATGGGATGCTGGCACAACAGGTTGGAGAATTAGCCTGATGGACTAAAAACAAATTCCATTAGGATTTCAAACTAATGGATTAGGCTGAAAGTAAGGGGCAGTGGGAAGTACTTGGTAAGATAAATCTTAAGAACATACATTTACTTAGTACCTATTAAGTGCCAGACACTCTGCCAGCTTTTCAGGGTACTCAAAACCTTTGCTTGCTTATTTTTCCTCAAGAAATTGAACAATTTCTTCAAATTAGTATAATGCATTCCTGGCATTTTTCTGAGGAAACCACAGAAAACTTGGGATCCATTTCAATCTAATGGAGGAGACTAAGTTGTGTCTTTCAGAACAAGGGGTGAAAAGTTGTGTGCAGAAAACTTAAGGGAGGCATCCCAGTGCAGGTGTTGGTGACCCTTCAAGGGAGAAACGGCACAGTGTATTGTTTCCTAAGGAATATGTTGGGGGAAATTGCAGTTGGGGAAGAACAGAGCATGCTCATACATATAGAGTCCATTTGTACACACCCATGGATTGTGTGCAGCTTAGGGCATTACAGCTAGGTTTCAATCTGTTTGAATTCCTTCTTCCTGCTGCTTTTAACTGTGTTTCCTCAAATATTGGTTAGATTTGTGATTTTTTTTTCTTAAAGTAAAACAATTTTTAGTTTATATTTTTAAACCTCTATGATCTCAACTAATAATTGTTAATGGAGAAGTGTTACCTGGTAACTGAAATACACACTTTATTACTATTCTAGTTTCCTATCACTCCCCCCAGTGTTAATCATGGGAAAGGCTCGGGATGAGATCTGTCTTGTCTGCACACAGCTGTCCTGTACAGACCCCATCCCATTCCCCTGGAAGGTGAAACGGAGCCTGGGCGTTCTGGATGACCTGTGGATTGGAACATTCTAACATAGAATTAATTTGCTTTTATTTTCTGGGCAAATCATACATCTGTTTGTACCCACAAAGAGCAACCATGGATATTCTCCTGTTGGTTTCCTACTGGGTGGTTTTAATAGGCACCCCATGAGCATTCAAATATTTTTTATTGTGACTGTGGCATATGGCATTAATGAAAAGTACCTTGACTGTGGAGTCCAATTCACCAGGGTGAATCTGGTCGTGGACTGCTGGGGTGCCTCGGTCTTGTGTAGGTTGCCCGGCCTGCTAAGCCAATTGGATGCTTTAAATCTGGCGTTTTCTTTGTGAGGAATCACAGAGATTATGCTCTTTCTCTGAATCTTTGTGAGAATTCTGGTAGCTAATAGATGATTATTATTATTTTTAAAATCATTCATTTGAGAGGCAGCGTCAGAGAGAAAAGGAGAGATGCAGATATTCCATCTGCTGGTTGACTCCTCACATGGCCACACTGGCCAGGGCTGGACCAGACCAATGCGAGGAGTCAGGATACACGAGCTTCTGTAGAGTTTCCCACGTGGGTGGCAGGGACCCGAGCTCTCAGTTTATCTTTTCACTGCATTCCTAGGGAACTGGAGCAGGCTTGAAAGGACTCGAAACTTGTATCATAGGCTCTTAACAGTCATCAGTATTCTTTCTTAAGCTAAATTTTATTCCTCTCTCCCTGCTGGAAATACCTATACCATTTTCCAAGCACATTAAGATGGTTTTATGGATCCATAATTAAGCAGCTTTTAAGATGAGAATACCTGCTGAAAGATGATAGTATAATACTCACAGTAATCCTAATTTTTCCTAAGTCATGACTCTTGAGAAAAGCCCAGGGGTGGTAGGAAGCTGGGCCCCTTTATACGGTTGTCACTATGAGCTTGCACGAAATATCTTACACCACCAAAGCATAAAACTCACATACAGCTGTCTTTAGGAATGTATTTATTTTCCTAAGGCTGAAACAATTATTTACACTGGCAAACAAGTATAAGTAGGCTTTATTTGTTTTACGCTATGTTAGAGCTCTTTCTGAACAAAATTATTTATTGGTTATTGTAATTATTAGAGCAGGCACCAAATTTATCCCTTCGATATATGGCTCAATTGGCAATGTTAAGGTCATTGTGAGGAAAATTTTTTAAAAACCCTGACATTTTTGTATGCCATTTGTTCATGCTACCACCTTTATTACGGGCACGGGATGGTGCACTCTGTGGTTCCAGATTTCATACTTGGAAACTCATAGCATTTCACCCTGGAGGAGCATTCCCAGTACTCCGGAGTATGCTGGGAGACCTCCGGGAAGCACTGTTTCTGAGCAGGTGTTTGATGGCTTAAGCTTGTCTTTGTGTCTGTGTGGTCACGGGAAACACTCAGTTCTCTGAGAAGGAAAATGCAACAGTCTAAACATACATAGGACCTTGGTGAGAAAAAGGGTTGGGTACAATTTGAATGTATACAACAGTTGACACTCGCTGGCACGGGTTGTTGGGGTGAATGACCAGAAGCTCAACCCTTGCCATTAGGATCACACGTTTCCTTTGCCTTTGTTTTCCAGGGCCAGCCCGGGGACCAGGCTGCTCTCTTTGCTGCACAAGCACGGCCCGCCCTTCAACTCCCGCAGTATCCAGGGCTGCAGCAAACACAGGTACCCACGCATGGCTTGTTGTTGATCCTGTGAAACAGAGTCCAAGGACGTGAGGCTTTAGGACAAGTCCTTGCAGTAACGAGGATGCTCTAAAGAAACCCAGGATCAAGGCATTGAGCCCCTCAGCCTCACTCCATTCATGCTGCCTGACAGTCCATCACACATTCCTCTGACCTCCAAGTGCAAGGCGTTCAACTACCTTGAAATGTCATGCGTTGAGCATTTGAAGAGCAAGCGTTGTTCAATTAGCGTTCTGTGCAGTGCGTTGTATGTAGTTGTCCAACAGAATCTTAGGGTTATTTAAGGTGTCAAGATTGAGTGATTAATATTCAACTTTAATATTGAATAGAAAAAGTACATGTTCAGATTATAGTTAGAGGTACATGGAAAGCGCTCAAGCATTGCAAGGTGTTGAGTAGTATCTGTTGTACCCTCTCTTCCTGGCTCAGGTATTGGCTTTTGTTTTTGTCTGATTTTGGGGTGGACAAGGAGAGGAGACTAGTTAGTTGCTAAATTACTATTTGTCACATCTAAAAAAATATGGTCATATGTTTGTGTCACATTGAGCATGAGTAGCTTTTCTGGCTAATTTTGCAAATGCTGTGCTGATGTCGTTATCTTCTGGACATTAACGTCATCTGTGCACTCAGAGTATGGACGCTTGCCAGGTTATCTTGCCTCTCAAAATCAGACATCGATGTTGAAATCCAATTCGGTCAAGTGACAATCGTCATGGTTCTTAGTAGCAGTTTCCGTTGGATCATCCCACATCAGTCAATGCTATAGCTTTCTGGCCAGACTCCCTGCCCACAGAGCAGTGCCTCTCCCGTTTGTGTCTGAGCTTTTGAACAACCGCTGAATGAGAGGATTTGTCCCATATGCCTTCGTGATGGGAAATCTGGATGACAAACTGACGCTGGCTTCTCCCCCACAGACGCTGCCTCAGGGCTATACGATGTATGGAACACAGATGACGTTGCAGCAGACCGCACAGCAGCAAGCCAGCAGCATGGTCCTGTCTCCTGGTTACAACTCCCGGACCTACCCGGCCACACACTCCAACCCCGCACTGATGGAAAGACTGCGCCAGATTCAACAGCAACCCAGCGGCTATGTGCAGCAGCAAGCCTCGCCCTACCTGCAGCCCCTGGCTGGCTCTCAGAGGTGATGCTCGGGGGAATACTGACGGCAACTCCAAACACTCACATTCTTGGGTTTGTTGAGCTGCTTCAAGGGCATGGCGCCTGATCGTTTGTGTCATTCGTATTCCATCATGTTGTTTTCAGTAGTGTCCTGATAGAGGATTAGAATAAGAGATGAGAATGGAAAATCCCCTGTCTCGTGTTGTTCATTAAAGACCCTATACTTTGAATTCTTCTCTTGCAAGGTAGGGCTCTCATCCATTTAACAGTGCACTGTGTACCAGGGCTTTTCCTTTGTGCCTCTCAAAAGTTTTGTTGTCATTGAAAACCTCTCAGGAAACTCATGATTGCAATTAACAGTGACTTAGCCGTTCGATTGAGAGTTGCATGATGCACCTGGAGTTTTGTAATTACTTGGTTTCTCCCTTTACACTTCAGGGATGACTCTGCAGGATCCTGGTAGATTGTTTTCGGTTCTTGCATTACCCACATCCCTTAGACACAGCCCATAGCTGCACTGTCCGTTAGGGTCACAGCAAACCACAGGTAGTTTACACTTAGAGTTTTTATGTTTAAAATCCAGTTATCCAGTTCCGCAGTCACACTTGTCATATTTTAAGTGTGCACTAGCCACATGTTGCCATTAAGGCCAGCTTCAAGCATGTGTGAGCTGCGCATTCCTATGTGGTGTTGTGTATCCAAGGACCCTTGCTTGTTCTCCTGTTTCCCTCTTGAAATGCTAAGCTAGCGTTCAGCCAGGGATACCTGCATTTCAGCTTTTCCCTGAGACTGAAAAATCATGTAGTGGGTTCTGCTGTCCAGTGGTTCTGCTCTCCAGTGCTTATGTCACTGGGTGGGGTAGACAGAGGCCATTTCTGTCATTCTAGAAAGCTCTATTGGTTATTATCCAGTAGGTTGGAATTATCCAGAATTAGCTTTCCTGTAAAGTTTTGCATTCCAGCAGGTAACAGCAAAGCTCCCCTCTATAACTACCAAGGGATAGCTTCCCTCTGGCGAGACTGGTGGCAGCTCAGTAAAATATTTGGATGTGGAAACCAGGCATTATGTTTACTGTTTAAGAGGCAGTACAGTGTGGTGGCATATAGCTCAAGAGCATGAAATTGAGAGCCCGATGTCTAGCTTATAAATGTGCAATTAATGTCTGTCATTAACTGTTTTATGAAAGTCATTTGCACACAAATGCTGTTCTTTTTCAAGTAGTCCCATCTGTTTATTTAACCACTGACCCTGATTCTATTTGAAGTACGCAAGTCATGGTTGAGTTGTAAAAGCTTCTCTGTGAGTGTCTTGGGCTGGTGGTGTGGATTGGATTAAGAACTTGGTAGCACACTTGGCCCTGAAACCAACTGCCTTCTCTTTTGCCAGACTGAACCACCAGGCTCTACAGCAGAGCCCTCTGGTGGGCGGAGGAATGGACGCTGTACTGACCTCCACACACCCTGCCCTTCCCTCAGTACCCCTGCCTCAGGACCCCATGAGACCCAGGCAGCCACAAGTTCGACAGCAGCAAAGACTCCTCCAGGTACGGGGCAGGGAGGTGAGGGCATTGCCGTCACCCTTGACCCAGGGCCTGCACACGGCAGCCCGAAGCATTCAAAGACACCTCGCTGTAATTACTAAGTTCCACGGAGCCGGGAGCTCAACTGGTGCGATTTACTTCTGACTTAGTAGCAAGAGTTTTATCTTCTGTGTCTCAGCAGGACAAGGGCTGGAAAGTACCCTTTTGTAGAACATCCTTCCTCTTTCACAGAGGTTTGGAGGGAGGGGGAGCCAATGAATGCCTTTGTTTTAAGAGAGGAAGTTCTGCTTACCTACTCACTAATCAGGGACTATGCAATTTGAATACAAAATGCCATATTTGTGATTAAAACTAAACAAAGGCTGTCTAAGACTTTGATCAGATTCCTGGAGAGGTCTGTAATCCTGGAGAATTTCTGAGATGCCTCCAGTCTGATGAAGCTGTGAAACTGAACGTGGGATGTAGGATGGATGCTTGCTCTTCTTTCTGTTAGCATGCTGAGAACTGGTCCAGCCTCCTGCTGCTGTACACTGTGGGAAACAGCAGGCGGCAGTTCATGTACTTGGGTCCCCGCCACCCAGGTAAGAGACCCACATTGCCCCCTAGGCTCCTGAGCTCCTTCTGGCTGGTCAAGGTCGTTGTGGGCATTTGGGGATGAATCAGTGGATAGGAGAGCTCTTCTTTATGTATGTCTCTTTCTCTTTGCATTTCTAATAAAGCTAAGTAAATTTAAAATCTGTAGTACCATTCCTTACTGATCTACTCTAGCTATTTCAGTCTCCTAGACAAAGGGATCTAGTTTCCTTGTTGAAGGAATACAGGCTATTATGTTTATCTGAATTTTAAACAAACTTGCCTTGCTATTGGAGAAGAGATTTCCTGATGAAAGTCTCCAAAGGGACTAATCTTTTGAGCAGAACAACTTGAACTGCATTTTCATGTACTAGAAAGAAAGAAGCAAATACCGAAAATGGGAAGTCATGGAGCTAGGATGTGCCAGGAATGTCCTCTCTGTGTGAAGTGAGTGGGAACAGAGTTGCAATACAGGAAGGGACTGCACAGTAGCTCGCATGTGTTGATTTTGACAGCGTCAGAAGCTAGAAATCATGTCTCCTCTGACAGTTTGCACCACACACAAAATCTCTGTAGAGCTGGCCTTCACAAACTAAGATGCCATTAGTTGCATACCAATTTTTGATCCTTTGGAAAAAAGTTGTATTAAAATTCATAACATATGATAATTGATTTGGAAAGAATGTAGCCTGCAGGTGACCAGTCCCACTCATTGCTTAGACACTGCCAGATGGTAAAATAGAACAAACCATACAGAACTTGGTGATACAGAACTAACCACAGAGCCTGTGTCTTAAATGTGTAGGCATGAGTAAAACAAAACCTGAATTAAAGCACTAGTTTGGTTTTCTTTCCAGTAATCTGTCCTTTAATATTCATGATACATTTCCTAACATCTTCATTTTCCCCCCAAGTTCCAAGGATAGATTTTAGAATTTTTCATTGATATTTAAATGTTCTTTGGGTTTTAATTTCCTCATTTCAAGTCACTGCATTTTGTAGCTACTGTTTTCTGTGCTAATATTGGTGTAGTGTGTTCCCTTGCTAATTTTTTCATCACCAACACGTTTCCTGTAGATACAGTTGATTAGCTTCACATCAGTGTTACACTTACTTAGTTTTGGCTACTTGCCTATCTACATAGAGGGAAGTGTTAATAATTTAAAAGTTGCTCCAACTGTTCTTGGAAGAGTTGTCAGGAAATAAAATAGAAGTTTACTTCATATTGCAGTCCTATGTCCATTGCACGTTGCCGTTTGATGAGAAGTGCTGTCCAGCAAAAGCTGTTACTACCCTGCTCTAAAGGAGATGCATAATTTTAGAATGCAGTTGGGAAAATAAAAAGGGTGAGGAATAACTGGGGGCAATCATCTTCAGCATGAGATACTTGAAGTCATTGACACAAACACCTGTTTACATTTCCTCTTCCTCGTGTCCACCTGGCGAATATCCAGGCAGTGTTTTCTCTCTCTGACTTGGAAATGTTTGCCTGTAACACGTGCATTGAAGCCGGCTTTGTCCCTGCTCTGATTTCTCATCTTATGCCCATGGTTTTTGCTGGAACATTTCACAGGTTTAGTCTGCATCATCTTCTTGCTTTAAGAAAAACAAAATCTCATCCTCAGGAGGTCCTGTGGGTGTCCCATGGAATGAGGTGATAGCCTTAGACAGTGCGAGTCTAACTTTGTGGTGCAGGCTACGACAACACACAAGGCCAAGGCCGTGAAAGGGAGGCAGACACGTGGTTCCGAGAACATTCCTGCACGGTGTCGGATGTTCCAGCATAGTAAGACAACTTCAGCTTTGAGGTCGTGTTAAGAAACCTCCATGAAAGAGAGTTAGTCTTGCGCTTCCTTGTAAAAGAAATCTTTTAAAGAAACTTATTAGTATGTGAGACTCTTGGGGTCACAGTAAAGGTGCGGTGGTTACTACAACAGAGTTATCAGTTTTCATGCAAAGGGAATTTATCATGTTGTTGATATACGTGTTACCTCTTTCCTCTATCTCTGTTTTCTTTCTTAATTCTTGAGATAACATTTTTAATTTGAATTATACTAAAAGGCTTTTTGCTGCAATAAATGAAGAGTTGAGCAAGTAAAAAGACCATAACTCAGCAGAGGTATAGGCAAGGGCTGTGAATAATCACCTTAAAATAAGTCCATTTAACTAATATACAGTATATTTTAAAGTCATAGGCCATTAAAACTGTGCCAGTATACCATTATTTTATTTTTATTGGAAAGTCAGATATACAGAGTGAAGGAGAGAAGGAGAGGAAGATCTCCCATCTGTTGGTTCATTCCTCAAGAAGCCAGGAGCTTCTTCTGGGTCTCCCATGCAGGTGCAGGGTCCCAAGGCTTTGGGGCGTCCTCAATTGCTTTCCCAGGCCACAAGCAGGAAGCTGGATAGAAACTGGAGCAGCCGGGATACGAATCAGCACCCATATGGGATCCCAGGCATGCAAAGCAAGGACTTTTAAACACTCTGCTACAGCACCAGGCCCAGGTATACCATTATTAACCATTGGCTTGGCAGAGATATGATAGTATTGATGTTCAGAGGCTTTTTTTTCTTCTTCTTCATCTTCCTCCTGCTCTTTTCTCCTCCTCCTCTTCCTTCTCTTCTTCCTCCTCTTTCCTCCTTTCCTTTTTTAAAAATATGTTTACATGAAAGATTTACTCAGAGGGAGAGGGAGAGAGAAGCTAGAAGCTGGGGCCTCATCTGGGTCTCCCATGTGGGCCACTGAAACCCAGTCACTTGGCTCACCTTGGGTTTATCGCAGGCAGTCAGCAGGGGGAGCTGCGTGGGAAATGGGATTTATGAAATGCCAGCCATTACAAGCCTCTGCTTCTGCCACTGCAGCACAACGCCGGCCCTTCATTTTATATCTTGATTTTTAAAAGTATTTCTGTCATTTTAGGTTTCAGATAAAAGAGAAAAAGTGAGAAATTTGTCTTTCTGTATCCAGCTTGTTTTACTCAACACAGTATCCTCCAATTGCATTCATTTTGATGCAAATGATAAATCTCATTGTTTATAGCTAAAATTCCATTGAAGGCACACGTTATCCCTTTATCTGATGATCGGCACTTTGGTTGAATTCATATTTTTGAACAATGAATGAGGTTTAGTAACGTTGGAGGAGGCAGGTCCACGCTATGGAATAGAACATTTAGTTAAAATGTTATATGAAGGTATTCAGAAACGAAATGAGCATTCTTCTCTGGAGATGCTTAATTCTTTTCTGTCTCTGCAGATGCAGCAGCCCCAGCAAGCCCCACAGCCCCAGCCACCTGCACAGCCCCAGAGCCAGCCCCTGGGACTCCAAGCAATGCAGCCCCAGCAACCACTGGTAAGGCCTCGTGTTCTGGTATTCAGACACACGGGTTGCATTCTTCTATAATTGTCAGAACCTTAGAAAGAAATAACTAGAAATCGGTAGGTTTTGCTGTTTTCCCTCTTCATATTTTTTTCATCATATTCCACGGACTGAAATATTTACTATGAGATGCCAAGTTCTGATATAAAAAGCCATGTTACAATGATTTACTCTCTAGGTTTAGAAGGTTATGATACTTTTACTATAATTTCAAAAAGTGTGCAGCGATTTCTAGAATATTATCTTTAATGTTGTAGATGAAACTGCTGTTAACCAGTTGGCGTTTGTTGCAAGAATTTTCACACAATTTATAGTCTGCAGGTCACTTCTCTAGCTGTGACTATTAAATCTGGATATGTGCTTTGCGTAGCATTGGCTCTGTAAACCTCAATCGTTTAAACAGTCTTGTTTTCCCTTTACCATATCTCTACTTTGTTACTTATTTGCTAATTTTCTTTAAATTGCTTATTAAATTGACGTCTTTCTAAAAACCTCTTTTACCATTGCCGTAACTGATCACATCGCTAGTGATGTACTGGAAATGTTTGTGAAAAGGCTTGAAGTAGTCTCACATGTTTGTCTTTGAATGTGACAAACATTCTGGCAGTATTTTGACAGAGAGCCGAAAAAGAATGCTTTTGCAAAATATTTTCATATTTAGTGTTTGGAATTTTTAATGCTAGACCTGGAAAAATACTTAACTTCCCCCCAACCGCCACCCAGTTTAAAACAACTTCTCCTGCTGCAATGCTGGTGGTAACAGCAGTTACAGAAAGAATTGGTGGAAATAACTATTCTGTATGAATGCTTTTTCAGATACTGGATATAAGAACAAAAATGGACACATGTTTACTGTATGTAAGGAACCCGATATTCTGAGAATTGTAATTTATTTGTCCAGTCGTTGCTGAATGAAATGATTGCATAACAAAAAAAAAAAAACCAAACTTTAAAGATAGGACCGTTTATTATTGGATGTTTAGCAGTATGTGGCTCACAAATGAACTCTTTGTATATGCAAATGAACTCTTTGTATATGCAATTCAAATGTGAACAGTTTTCATTCTCAGAGTGGGAATTTTACTTTCCAAAGATGTTGATTTTTATTTATGGAAACAGAACCTTAAAATACGGTGAATGATTTAAATACATTTTTACTGCTATTGCAGTTAAGCAAACATCAACTTGATCATTCCATTTATTCTTTCTCTTTGGCCTTTTGTCCACACCTTATCACATGCTATTGAATATTAGTGTATTTGATTAATAAAACAGCATATTCATTTATTCTTAGAGAGCTAGTCTATATCAACACAGATGGCTATCAAGTGCTTGAAATGTTATAATCGTTTGTGTAATGTAAAAAAAATATATATATTTATGTATATGGCTTATATTAGAAAGCTTTGTTCTGGGACTAAGGTTAAAATTGCTTAGCAACTTCTGAGTTACAGATTGTTACAAGCATCAACAAAATACCTACTCCCTTTATTTGTTATAATTAAGGCATATGCAAAAAAAACACCTTCATCTAATAGTTTTATAAGTCTTTTATTAGATTCCTTATGGGTAATAGACTGACACCACAGGCCTTCAACACTGATCCCGAAGGCAGTGTTGACCTGTTCATGGATATTTCAGATGCTCTGCTGAAGCCGTGATAGTGCCAGGATTATCCAGGCGAGAAAGGAAAGCCCTCTGTCACAGTGATTTAAACTGTAATAAAATCCGTGGTAAGCTTGTTATGGTCTTCTCCCTGAAGGGAGCAAAGTAATGTCTTACTTATGGAAGACTGTGTTGTCATGTAAGCTGCGGTTTCAACTGCAGTAACAAACATATCAGATGTGTGTAAGTCTTAAAATGAGCTGGGAAATAGAAACTATTTTGAAAATATTGGATTTGAAAGTTTTAGAGTGCAGAGTTAGACACGTAGAGGTGGTCGGTGATCCTGAATTTTTGCACTATTATAATAGTGTCAATCAAATAGTCCATTTTTGCAGTTTTAAACAGCTAAGTCGTTCCCTCATTGCTCTACTGCCAGTTGCTTAATTGCCTCACCCATGCGAAAGCACTTAGACTGTTTACAATTTTAAATGAATTTTTCTTTATTTTTTAAGTATGTATTCTATTTCCTTTTTTTTTTTTTGATCTTACAATAAAAGAGAAGAGAAATATAAGAAAAAAATGATCCATTATTATCCTTAGAGTAAAATAGCACAAATCTTTGTCAGTGTTAATAAATATTTTGATGATCTTTTGGTTCGTTCCCTTTCATGTTAATTCCACTAATATGTGTTCCAAATATTTACCGATTTCGTTGTGTAAACATCTCCAGGCTTGTTACTGGGCAGTGTTCTTTGACTTGCTTCTCTGCTGGAGGAGCAGGTGGGACTGGCTGTTGTAGAGAAGTGGACCCTGACTCATAAAGGTTGTGATTCATGCCCCATAAAGGAGAAGTGGCTGTGGTAACAGGGTCTCCGCCCTCCTCATGACTTGTCCTGCTGGTGTTGCATAATGTTCTTGTTGAGTTAGCATATTTAACATGCTGGTGGAGACCACACAGGCTGCATGTCTCTGCAGGGCGTAGAATCCTAGGACACAGCAGAATCGAAGCACTGCGCATGGAAGTGTTCAGTTGTTGGATTTCTGTGCAAAGAGTTGGGGAGGTTGGTTGTATTAGTTTGCTAGGGCTGCTATAGTAAAGTACACACACTGGGTGGCTTAGACAGCAGGGCTCGGTGGTCTCAGGTTGTGAAGGCTGTGAATTCCAGATGGAGGTGTTAGCAGGATTCGTTCCTGGGAGGAGGATCTGTTTGGTGCCCTGGCCCGCTAGCCTCTGGCAGTTTGCTGGTAACCTTTGGCTGATTTTGATTTGCACAGGTGTCACCCCGGCTCTCCCCTCACCTTCACACAGTGTCCTTGGTGTGTGCACAGGTTTCCTCATTCGTGAGGACCACAGTCACATTGGATTAGGACCCAACCTGACATAGTCCCATTGTGGTTTGGCTGCCTCTAAAGATCCTGGCTCCGGGTCAGGTCACATTCGGAGATGCTGAGGATTGGGGATCTCTGCAGCTACTTTTGAGGGATGCATTCCAACTTGTAACAAAGGTAGAAGGGGAGTGGGAATTTGGGAACCATTTAATATTGGGCGTGTGGGGGAGGCATTGGGACTTGCCTGTTCCCTTGCCTATTGCCTTTCGTGTTGGCGGTAACAGTTGAGATACGGGAGACATTAACCATCAACACCCACACAGCCGTGTCCCCATAACTTAGAGTATCGAGGGGCAAAACTGACTTAGGACAGCAGCTGGCATTTCTTTAAAATCTGTCATCAGGAAACAGCAGTCTTTGGTGAAAAGCATGGGACACAGTAATGAAAGAAAAAAACCTGTGTACAGATTGAACCCCTCATCAGTTTATTATCAATCACGATGTTGCTATTTGCTTCCTACGTATACACCTCTTCCGTAAGAGAAGAGCATCCGGAGACAAGAACACATGTCCCCTTCCTAGGAAAATCTATTTGGCCCTGTTGGTTTTGGCCTGAACTATAGTTCTTAATTTAAAAATATTTTTAACACCTGTGTCTTAATGATTCAATGAAGCTTTACTGATTATGTTGACTCAATATGATTTCTGCTTTAAAGCCACTTAGAGCTTTTAAGAAAATTATGTTTTCACCATCTGGATTTCTCATTTCTTTTCATCTGAAATCCAGACTATCTTTGTTTGATGTTCCTGAAAGCTTTACGAAGTTTACTTTTTTTCTAGTCACCTGGCCTTTTTGTCAGCCTGGCGTTGAGTATTTGTGCACTTAAGTTTTGTTGTTCTTGCTATTTCTTTGAGAGACAGGAAAAGCCAGACTGAAAGTTCCTGTCTGTCGGTTCATTCCTCGAATGCCCAGGAGCCAAGCACTCAATCTGGGTCCCCAGCGTGTCTGGCAGAAACTCAGACACATGAGCTTCCGCCGCCTAGGGTGTGTATTGGCAGCAAGATCAGATCCAGAGCTAAGCCAGCACTAGAAAGCAGTCAGTCTGCTATGAGATACAAGCATCCCAATAACCACCACGCCAACCCCCCTCCCTTAAACAGCTACCTTGTAGAAACGCCTAACGGGGTTGGTGTGGTAGCAAATGAAGTCGCCACCTGCGGTGCCGGCATGGATGCTGACTTACGTCCTGGCTGTTCCACTTCTATTCCGCCTCCCTGCTAAAGGCGTGGAGAAAGCAGATGGCCCAAGTGTTTGTGCCCCTCCTTGCCACCCATGTGGGAGACCCAGATGAGTCACCTGACTTTAGCCTGCTCTAGTTCCAGCTGTTTCAGTCACAGGGAGAATCAGCGAATGGTTAATCTAACTCTATGAAGCGCACGTTTCTAAAAGCATTATTTGACAACAACAGTTGTTACTTAAACAGTGGCACTAACTTTCAGTCAATTATTTCATTGAAAATATTATGCAGTGTTCCTCAAAGAATCCATATGTTCCTTCAGAGAAGTCCTTAAAAGGTATCTAGAATTCCGATGTAGTCAGGTAGTAGCAATAATCTTTTGAAGTTGAATAAGTTAGGTCCTGAAGATGTTGTTGAGTTAGGTTGCCTTCCTTAGCTTTAGTTTGGGCTTTCTCCTTTTCGAAGACAAAGGAGATGTGCTATTTAAAGAAAAGATGTTTTATTTGCTCAGGTTTCTGTCACCAAGGTAGCCAGCATATCAGATCGCTACCTAGCTGTCATTCCTGATGTTTGACAGTCAAGATGTCTATACAGGGATGCCAGAGCAGTGACTCCTTCCCACTTTGCAGTATGTGAGGGGCTGGGCGAGGCCTGGAGCTGATCTTGGGGGACTTTGGATTTTTGCAGAGTGTTAAGTGGGATGAAGGGAAAGGGATGAACATATGGCAAAGAACAGAGATGACAGGGACCGAGACCTTTGCATGGATGGGTGCAGTCCAGAAAAACCAGTCCTACTTCATTTATTACCTAGAAGTAGGAAAAAAAATCATCACTCCAGGCTATGATGTTTAAGATCACCCAGGAACGTCAGTGAACCTGCTCATTGACCTGTTTCGGAGTTCCAGCTCCCACCGGCATGATGCTTTGCAACCGACCTGAGTATTAGAAGCACCTGGGGAGCCATTTAGATTCCAGGTTTCCAGCACATTAGCTGCAGAAACTGTCAAAGTCTGGGGAAAAGTCCTCAGAGGGAAGTTAGTTATATTTCTGCTGCTGGCCTTGCCATTCCTCAGCCACAGGCCGGCCGCTGCGCTTTGCAGCTACTCGGTCTCAAAGGCCCACCGTCGGGTTTCTGCTGGGGAGTTGGCAACAGGCCTCTGCCTCCCGCGGAATGTATGCTGCACGGCTGAGGAAATTGCCCGCTTGTGTGCATTCAAGAAGAGGTGAAAGCCAGCCACCATCATGACCGGGGTGGCCTGGAGCGGAAGCAGCTGTGGTGGAAAACCTCTGAGAAGTCTGGAATGTACATCTGATCTGCCTGAGAAAGTTGGCCTGAGAACCCCGTCTCATTCAAAAATTATCATGGACCCAAAGAACTTTTGTTCATCTCTCGGTGTTTATGGCATTAGAAATTAAGACAGGAAGGATTAGTAACCTATTTTAAAATAAGCTGAGCTGGTAAAATTAACATTTTATGAAAAAATAGCATTTCCAATGTGAAAGAAAAGGCATTAAGGCTTTTAAAAAGGTTGTTAATGTCTGGCTTAATAAACACACTCTGTTCCATGTCACATGTTACACAGCTTCTGGAAAGCTGCCTTGAACTCCAGAAAGAACAAGGTGGCTCTGGAAGGGAGGCAGAGGGGAAGCAAGCTCCTCGGTATGATTTTGAAAACGGCTTAGAGCTCGCAGACACTCTGCGACACTCTTCAGGACGTGCGCAGGTGGCGCCCAGCTCGCTCTTTACGTTTTTTGTTTTATTGTTGTTATTGTCCACGATTCTCAGTGAAACAAGGCAGCCCCACAGGGACAAATACTGTTTGTATTTGATATAAGGCAACCTTCATGCAGAGTGCAAAACAAGTTGATACATAGGTAAGCAGGGATATCCGCACTTCACATACATGACCTGAATGATGGAGACTAGCGTACTGGGAAAGGGAGACAGGGAGCAATAGAACTCCAGCTCACTCCTCAGTGGAGGCTGAGTTTGTGCTCTCTTAAGGCTACCAGCAGACAGCCCCCCTGTTCTCGGCCACATACCTACATTCAGGAACTTCCTTCAGAGCCTCATACTCGTTACTATGGCCTCTGCAAAAGGTAGCCTCTGGGTTCTTTTTATGAATTGCTCTGTTTGAAGCAGGCTTGGACTGAATGTAAAGGAGCCAGCGAGGTGTCGAATGAATAAGTGTGGATTATCTGCATGCTAGTTAATGATCACCTTTGCCATCTACTATGTGGTGTCTGTCTACACAAGTATATAATTGTGTGGGTGTCCAAAACAGTGTCTGCACAGAGTACCATTTAAACTTCATTACGTAGGGTTTTTTTTTTTTTCTGAATAAGTACAGAAAGAAAAGTATTGACATTTTCGTAGCTGCAAAAAGCTGGTTTTGTTTTTGTTCCTCTGTTGCTTTGAGCTATATGGAGAAAATGGCAAGTTGCCAGTTCCTCTTTTTGTATTGGATAGATTAATAAGTAGTGGATGAAATAATCCACTGGCTTCATGGATCATTTTTATTGTTAGAAAGACTGCGGAGATTCGGGTGTTTCTGAATGAGCGTGGCCGGAGTTTTCCCTGAGTACTTGTTTTATGCCTGGCATTGATGGACCCGAGGGTGCGGCCATAGATAAGCCCAGGTCTTCATTTGGATTTCCCTTATTGGCAGGGAACTGGAACATTTTTTCATGTGTTTGTTTGCCATTTGGGCTTGTTCCTTTGTGAAATGTCTGCCCATTTCCCGTGCCCATTTCTTGAGTGGCTTGTTTGTTTTGGTATTTTGGTTGTTTTGAAGTTCTTTGTATATCCTGGAGATTAGCCCTCTATCACCTACATAGTGTGCAAAGATCTTCTCCCATTCTGTGGGTTGCTTTTTTACTTTGTTGATTGTTTCCCTTGCTGTACAGAAGCTTCTTAGTTTGATGAGGTCCCATTTGTTTATTTTGGTCTTGATTGCTATTGCTTTTGGTGTCCTTTTTAGGAAGTCAGGACCTACCCCTAGATCTTGCAGGGTGTAAGAGGACTCCTTACTAAGAGATGGGCAGAAGAAAGAGAGTCCCACTTGGAACCATGACAGGGGTAGTTACAGGCCATCTGCCACCAGAAGGGGTCCCTACTGAGCCCTGCAGCTGCCCAGAGTGGGGCGCTCTAGGCCAGTTGGGGTCTGCCAGGCTGAGAATTGGCAGAAAATGAGATGGACTGCCACTCTGCATGCTCCCATTCACTGAAGCGCTCCAGCTCCAGCAGCTCACGGAACACAGCTCAGGCTGGGGAAGTCCACCTGGGCAGACGGGAAGGAGCAGCTGTGGTGTAGTGTGACTACGGGGACCATGTGCCAGGAGGAGCCAGGAGGGAAGGAGGAGACAGGGAACAGAGTGGGAATGGGGGAAAGAGCGGAGGAAACAGGGAACAGAGTGGGAATGGGGGAAAGAGCAGAGTGTTTGAGGGCATGGGGCCGTGGGTGAGAAAGTCCTCACCACCAGTTGTTCTGATAAAAGTAACCTTACATCTAGCAGGTGCTTATGTTTTTCTTCTCGGGAGTAGCTGCTCCCATCTCTTGAATCAGCTTCGCAGAACCAGGGCATTTGGCCCCTGTATTGTGCCACGGTACTGATTCATCCTATACTCTGCTTGCTTGCGAAGCTCTGGGAGTGAGCCTCTGCCTGACGTTTGTGCTCCCAGCACCTCCTCTGGCCAGCTCTGACCACAGTGGGCCTCTAGCAGGCATCAGCATCCCAGAAAAGCCTTGCACTTGGACCCTGCACTGTAACCCTCAAGCAAATCTCAATGCAGAATGCTTAGTAATGTAACGATACCTGAGGGATGAAGGTGAAAAATGACCAGAGAATTTGAGTCCCTGGGCCACCTCTGGCATGTGGAGTCCTTCACGGCCACCTGAGTCTGAGAGTACATTCCTGAATCTGTGAGACACTTCTGCCAGTTAGTGCTGTGTAGCTGAAAGCCAATTTACAAGCCCTGGGCATGACCCGTTTCTTAAGAAGTGTGTCACTGGCAGTGCGGCTGGGGGGATGCGGGCCCTCCTGCAGCCTGCTCCTGGGCTGACTTCGGTGTCTTCTCCCATTGCACTTCCAGTTCCCCAGGCAAGGCTTGCAGCAGACCCAGCAGCAGCAGCAGACGGCAGCCCTGGTGCGGCAGCTCCAGAAGCAGCTCTCTAGTAAGTACTGAATCTCTTCTTGGGAAACCCAAGCAAGCAAGCAACCACGCGAGTCATGCCCTTTCCACGTTTGACCTAGTCCTGCATGTTTTAGCTTGGTTTTAGTTTGAATGCTCTTTGCTGGAAGATTTCAGTCTTTTTCTTACATGTAACGAAGATGCTGCGCCTCTCGATTGCCTCTAAAGCTGGCCTGTGGTTCCTTTCATTTGGAGTGCCCTGTGGAACCATAGCTGTGCTTTTCAGAAACGTGAAGGGCTCAGGAAGCGGCCCCAAGGAGATGGCTGAAACGTGAGAACGTTGTTGTCGTCCGCCCCGCTCTGCTGGGTTTCAGATCCAGGAAGGCCGGCACTGGACTGCTGTGCCTTACACTTTGAGGATAAGTGACTTGGAACTCAGAGTCCGGCCAGCATTTCCTTGCCCGCAGCCTTGCCTGCTGTCCCGGAATAGCTTCCCTTTTCAGTTCTGCTGCCTCTGAAGGTGGAGCGCACACCAGGAGCTGTTCATGCGTTACCCCTCACCTCCAGGCCTGCTAGGTGTGCCCGTGGTCACCCCTCGCCTCCGGGCCTGCTAGGTGTGCCCGTGGTCACCCCTCGCCTCCGGGCCTGCTAGGTGTGCCCATGAAGCCAGCCACCCATGCTCCAGAGCTGTGGGGTAGCAGGGACACTGGGGCTCACCTCTGGGGCTCAGTCTTGGCAGGGGAACACCTTCTAGCTCAGTGGACTCCACCAGTGCCTATTCCAAATTTTTTCTTTAAAAACATTTCCTTCTTAAAATTTCCTTTAATTAAACCAATCTTGTTTTCTAGCTGCTATTTAATAGGTTAGACCTCTTAAAAGATGTAAAACTTCATGGGAATTCCACAGTTCATATTTTTGCAGAGAATATAATTTCTACCCACAGATTATTTTGCAGTGTTTAGAAATGGGTGCCTATGATATTTATATACTGGTACCTGCTTGCGAAGCATGTGTACTCTTAATTCCCACCTGGTAGCAGCCTGCTTTTTTTGTTTTAAGAATATTTTTTGAGGTAGGACAGCAGAGATGGAGGGCAGGGAGAGAAAGAGATTTTCCATGTCCTGGTTCACTTCACAAACTGCTGTGACAGTCTTGATTGGGCCAGGTAAAAACCAGGGTCCCAGAACTGCATCCAGCTGGGCATTGTTCACTGCCTTTCCAGGCACAGTAGCGGGAAGCTGGAGCAGAAGCAGAGCTGCTGGGACTTGAACCAGCACTCTGATGTGGAATGCCAGCATTGCTATCAGGTGGCAAATTAACCCACTGTACCAGAGCGGGCCCTTGAGCATTTCACTTAAGGTCATTTTTTTTTTTTTATTTATGGAGGAATTTGCTTCAGGTTGTTCAACCAGCAGAAAGAAACAGCTGTGACTTAGCTTAGACGGGTTTCTCTCAGAACTTATTTCTTTACTGCAACATAGATGAGAACTTCCAAAAGTATGTGGATAATAGAAGAAAATGTTTAGTGCACATTTTTTTTTGCAGTGCAAGCAGTCTTCAAAAAGTTCGCCAAAAAAAAAAAAAAAATAAGAACTATGCATAGATTTAAAATATGGCCCATATGAATAGACTCAGGAATTAAATAATGCAGTTATGCAAACAGTGGCAGTTTCTAAGCCTGTGCCACTTTTTTTGTATCTCCAGAATATTTTTTCTGGTTTTACATGTGAGCCTGTCTTCACATGCATGCACAGAAAAGCATGCACTTGAGTCAGTCCACACGTGGACACGCACACTGCATCTACTGTCGCCTCACAGTTCTTCGAGTGCTGTTTACAGGAAACTAAATATAAGGTAGTACTGTCTCTCACCTATTATAGCCCCTGTGAAAGTGTAAGTGCTGGCTTGATATTATAAATACTTGGAGGAGTTAGTGTTGGAGGTGACTTTGGGTTCCATGGGAGATGCCGAGGAGAGCCAGTTACCCTAATCCTGATGTCTTGCATTATCAGGTGTGGGACTCAAATGTAGTTGGTCCCTGTGCAGGATAAATGGGGTGGCAGAACCTGAATCCCAACCTGTTTTTTTTTTTTTTTTTTCATTTTGTGACACAGTTTCATAGGCTCTGGGATTCCCCCAACCGCTCCCAGTGCCCTTCCCCCATGTTGGATTCCTCTACATTGTTGCAGTAATACAGTTCATATCCAGTCATGATTCCTTCATTGTGAGCATGTACCATGCATAGAGTCCAGCATCTTATTGCCCAGATGAATTCAACAGTTTCCTTGGGAGACCATCCCTCGTCTGAAGCAGAGCTGGCAGAATATCATCCCTTCCAATGAAAAGCCACAATATAACATCAACAAAATTTTACAGCATTATAGAGTTAATTGACATGGGATTGAGTGATCAATATGTTAGAAAATGCAAGTTTTTAACCTCATCTTGTGACTATTTCATTGACATTTAAAGTTTAGTTTCTACACAACCGGCTGCTATACGCCTTAAAGTGGTTATAGGGTACTATTCAGCTGTCTCATGTCTATTTTCATTTTTATATTTAGCAGCTTATAGTATTAAGCATGATTTTTACTGAACTTAGCGAATTTTAGGATAGTCCAAACAGGGTTATAACTCTGACAATGCATATGTTAATGATTGGGGCACAGAATAATTTTAGGAGGGGTGTGCAGAGAAATCTTCAATACCTTAGTGAGGAGTAACTAATCTTTGTGTCCTACCTAGTAAGGTGTATGCGAGTCCAAGCTGACCATTTCCTGTCTGTTCTAAGCTTTCCTTACTGGTCTCTGTCTATCTGATCTACTTTTTTTAGGGGGCGGGGGGCTCTGGAGCGACCCTGATGGTCATTTTTAAAGAGGGTGGGGGTCCAAAGTTGGAACTAAGTAAGGACCAGAGACAGCTCCTCTCCCTAGTCCCGAAGGAAGTTTACTGTTCTGTTTCTGAGGACCGCAATGGGTCTGTTTCTTGTGCCTGGAACTGTTAATAGAGTGATCCTGAGAGAGTAGCATTTATCTGCAGCCTCATTTTGTAGTTGCCATTTCACTTCTCTGGATTTTTCTCACCAGGTAATCAGCCACAGCAAGGAGCAACTCCCTACGGGCATCCTTCACATTTCTGAATGTGGAAGAGGAGAAACATGAAATTTTATGTTTGCACTGAAAAAAATGGAAAGTCAAATTTGATGTATTAGTCATTCTTAGAAATGTCTGTTCTTTTATGCTACATCTCACACAAGGTGTCTAGACAAAAGATGGGAGGGGGAGTTGTCGTTTAGTTTTGTCACACTCAGATTTAAAGTAGGCTAAGTAATGGGGGTCGTATAGGCCTCTGCCAGGAAGAATGTGGTAGCAGAAAATTGGTGCTTCTCTTGAATCCCATATTTATAGAAAGAAGATGATGATGGATTTAAATATTTGTATGTTCGGTAATGATGGTGTTTGTTTCTTCCAAACTTTGCTGGACCAAGCTACTGATTTGAAAGGCACACTGGATCTCAAAAGAAGGGTGACTTGTCTGGACTGCATTGACCTGAGATGGTGAAGTGGACTTTTAGCTGCAACACTCTATTTTGAAATGTTTCATATGCACTTTATCAACTCCGTTCTTCATTATGTAGGACTCTGCTTTTGTTATGGTCAAAAGGTGCTGAAACAGGTTGTCGCTTAGTACAGGACCTTGTTAACCCAAGCTTCGGGGAGTGCCACCTGAGGTGGGTGGGAACTTCTTGGGTCCAGCTGGATGTGACCCTGTCCTTGGTGAGATACTGACCTCGGTCTTTGTGAGGTCAAAACACACATCAATGCTAAAGGCCTGAAAGAACCACAGTGGAGGCGTGCTATTTATTTATTTATTGCTAGTTTTAGCAAAAATGACTGTGTCCAGGTTTGGTTCTTCCAGAACCTTCTGCCAATTGAAAGACAGGGAGAGGGGGAGCAGCTGGAGGGAATCGTGCAGCTGGCCTGGGATTCCACAGTGCTGGAATATGATGTGGTTTCCAGAATCTCACCCCAAAGTCCAGAAGGTTCTGGTTTTCATAAAAGGTGTATTTGCTGTTTTCTTTTATATGGTAAGTATTTGCTATTTTGAATTTAATTATCAACGTTGCTGTCAGTCTTGGGTTGTGTATTGCATAATATACTGTATTTATAAATTGGTGCAAAAAGCACAAGTAAATTATACATCAAATTTATTATAAAGAAATAGTAACTATTTTAACTTTGTTCAAGTATGTGGTAATCTGCTCCTATTAGAGTTAAAAGATGCAGTAAATTATTATCAGTTTGTGTAACTTAAGAGTATTCCATATAATATTTTTTTAGATTTAGATGCATAAAATTTTGAATGTGAAAATTGCAGGGCATTTTAAAACATATGTGGGGGATATTTTCCCATGTTCTGTTTTTCTTTCGCCATATGATTTTACATGTAATGTAGTCAAGCATACTGTGAATAGATTTGTCTACAATAAGGAAACCACATAGAACTACTTTTTTTAAATGTAGCTAGTATAACTTTACTAGACAATTTCTTTCACAGATCATTCTATAAATAATTTATACCTTCCTAGGTGAGTTACTTATTGCAAAGTTTGACTCATGCAAATGACCTCAAATCCATGTCAGCTTACTTTGCTGTGGCAACATCCATGTGAACCTGCTTTGTACACTGTGAAACTATTTCTCTCCAGCCTGTTCATTTTGTGTTTACCCTGGGCTGGGAAAAGACTTTGCCAAAACATTAAAGAACATTCTTTTCACTAAAGTAACGTCCTATCTGCTTTCAGAAGATGTATCTTTACGTTTCAACTGATTTTGTATATCAGGGTTTTGTTGTTGTTGTTGTTGTTGTTGTTGTTGTTGTTGTTTTTCTTTTGAGGGTCATACTTAGAATACATGAAGTTATTTTTCTTCAGAGTCATGTATCCAGATAACGACTGCATTGACACAAAAAAAACGACGTGTGAATGTTGTGCCTAGTGAGTAGGTTATGTCCTTCCTGTTTAATATTTTATTTCAAGACGTTCTGGTATTTAAAAATGCCATTTTTCAGCTTGAACCATTTATTTTTGTAGCTCAAACAGTGGTCATACTGTTTCAAGAGTGAGTGTTGTAATTGCATAGCATTTGTATGCACTTTATATTTTTCAGGAGTTAAATTCTTAATCACTTTGCGCATGAAGGCTGTGGGCTCCACCTTTGCGGTGTTCTTTGAAGCTGAGGAAGGACGTCATGGTGAAGGCTTAGAATCCCAAGTTTTTGTGGGGTGTTGAGGAAAAACCTAAATTTATCTCCTGCGTGCTATGAAGAAAGCAGCAGGGAAATTTTAATCCAATCAGCCATCAGTCAAGCCCCCGCCCCGCCCCGCAGTGAACACTATTGAGGGGCTTTTCTTTTTAGCAAATGAATTTATTTGTATTTAAAAAAAAAAAAAAAGGATCACAACAGAAACGTGCTTAGGAGAATCTGCATGGTGAGGAAGTTGTGTTAGAATAAGACAGAGACCCAGCTCCCCGCAGAGTAAGCCCTGGAATGAGTTGGAAATCCCAGTGAGCCCAGAGTGGTACCTGTTTACTTCATAGGGTTTGCATTTGCCACGTGTGTGCCCTTCCCGGGTACCACTTCATAGACTACAGTGAGTGTCCTTTGAGCTCTTCCAGCCACAGGGCGCCGGCAGCAGAAGTTAGTAGCATTCATGCCACCTCTTAGGCCAGCTGAGCACTGGAAGCAGTGGAGGCAGCTCTCCCAGGCGTCTCCGACATAGGCGTAGGCTTACACCGTTCTTGACTTTGGGAACTGAGATAGTTAAATGATACCTATGGGATTCTTCTTCATGGTTAAAGTTGCTTCATAATTTTTTTTTTAAATAATTGGCAAATGTTTTAGTAGATACTGAAGAAAGTACACTAAAGACCCCAGCTTCTCAAATTAGTAAAGATGAATCATATGGTGTCCCACAAATTAATGAATTCAGGATGAATTAGGCATACCGTACACTAACTCTCAGTAAACTGCAGAAAACCTTGTGTAGGTTTGATCCCATTTGAAATGCACTGAAACTTCAATAGATAGAGTAGGTCTAGACTTGCCCAGTCATTTTCTTGTTGCATAAGGAATTATTTCTTGACATAAAGTGCTTATAAAGCAATGATTCCTTCTTGGAAATTTTTTTAATCGAAGCCTCCAAGCCAGGAGTGCCTGAGCTAGATTTTAAAGTTATAAAGAAGTTTCATTGTATTTTTAAAACCTTTTTAAAATCAACCCCTTTTTTTCACCTTTTATGATGTGCAGGTATTAAGTTGCTTTTTACATGTGGAAAAGTTAGCCTGCACTTGTTTTTAAATGCAGTAACTAAGACAGTTTTGTATTTTCCCATCAAAGAAACTTTTCAGTGCGAAACAACTGGTTTCATACCAGTTCCATGCTTTGGTTTTAGCAAAATATTTAGAAACCAACCACAAAAAGTTTGTACATTGAGATGGTCAAGTTACATAAAGACTTCAGTTTCATCTTTTCCCACTCTCTCTGTTCTGAGTGCCATGTTGGTAACATTGAGAGAAGATGGACACTAGGCAATTGGTAGAAGAAAAACAAATCCATTCTTACTGAAAAAAACAATCCTGGTACATTAGCCATCTGTTATTTTATGGTGGACAGTTTCCTCTTAATGTTTGTTGTTATGTGTTGGCAAAATAAAAGTGCCTTAAGTTAAAAGTTTCTGTTGAGAGACCCATTACAGAAATCAGTATCAGTTCAAAATGCAATGATTTGGGTTGTTGTTTTTTTTTTTTTTGCATGTCCATTGTAAATTTAATATTGTAAATGTATTCGAATTCATTTACATGCCTATGGCTGCCTTTGATTAAACTTCTTCCAAAAAAAAAACTGTCCGGATGTTGACTTTGTTCATTTCTGTTTCCTGTCATATTACTTGAATGTAAGTTGTTGCAGAATCACTACCAAGTGCATTCCTGGCTGTGCACTTGTATGGTCCAGAATCTGAGGTCTGGGGATTCTGAATGAGAAGGGTGCCTTGTGGGCGAAGCGCCTCACTTCCATATGTCCATCCTTGACTTGCTGTTGAGAGCAGGGAGTGGTTAGGCATCTCCCATGTGATCTCTGGCTTGGGGGCTCCCAAGGCCACACAGTAGAGCTGAAAGGGGGCCCCTGTCCTTGTGAGGATGCTCCGGGGTGGGCGATTTGTAATTCTTGGAGGGTAGGCTACAATCAGGACCGGCACAGTAATCTGTGCATGACCAGCACTGTTTTGAGCCTGACAAAGATAATTTCCTCTGTCATAAGTTGTTGCTTGTTTGATAACTAAGGTGCCATTTTCATGCAGTATGTATTTCCCATTGATTCGGGGTCTGTCGATTACATAACCACTGGGTGTGGTCCACCTGATGTTGGGCTTAGGGATTCCGTCAGACATGCAGTGCAATGACAGAGACTCTCCGCTCATGCTTTTCACTATCCCAAGCTTGTATGTCAGAATAACTGGCTGTTGGCCGATTTCTAAGATGATCAGTTTCTCAATGTGGCCGACTTTATTTCTAGCAGCACACCTGTATTTTCCTGCATCTTTGCGAGTTGTTCTATGAATGATGAAAGAACCATTGCGTGCTATCAGATACTGAGAATCGTGCGGTCTGTTGGAAAACTGGGTGCCATTTGGTAGAATCCAGAGTATTTCCGGTGGCGGGTTTCCATCCACAGAACAATTCAGTGTTGTGGACTTCCCGAGGTGGCCAACTATTCTTTCGTTGAATGGATTTCGGAAAGTTGGTCTTCTCAGCATTTCCAGCACTTCCAGCTGGACCACCAGCACGCTCTCTCCTCCTTCATTCTGAGCCACACAGGTGAAATCGGCGGAATCCGAGAGCCTCACGTTCCTGATCTCCAAGGTCCCGTTTTCATGGACCGTGATTCTACCTCCATGATACGGGGCTCTGAGGTACACGTTGTCTGGCATGATCCACGTGACGTGAGGAGGCGGTGTCCCTTCTGCTCTGCAGTCCAGGTGCTTTTTAGAATGCCTCACGGCTGTGACTTTAACTACAGTTCTGTTCCTATACAGGCCATTGATCAGCGGAGGCATAGAGACAACGTCCATTTTGTACAGTTGGGTGTCATCCCCGCTGGGATTGCGGGCCACACACAGGTACTCGCCAGAGTCCAGCGGCCGTACCTTGTTGATGGTCAGAGATCCATTGGCATGGAATGTGTACCTGCCATAGGAGAAGGAGATGGTGTTGTGCGATGGCAGCAACCAAAATACTTTTGGCTTGGGTTCCCCAGTGGCCTCGCAGTCCAGGACAGCCGTGCCCCCGGCTTTGACCTTGATGTCGCTCTTGTAACCCTGCCTGATCCGTGGGGCCGCCGTGATGACCGTGAGGTGGACCTTCATCTCGTCTTTGCCAAGGGTGTTCCGGGCGTAGCAGGTGTAGTCGCCTTCCTCTGTAATGCCAACTTTGTTGAAGTACAAGGTTCCATTGTTGAAGAGGGTGTACCTCTTGGGCCTGCGGCTGCTGTCGGCCTGCAGTGCACTGTTGATCACCGTCCCGTCAGGCAAGCTCCATGAGATCTCCGGCACCGGGGAA